ATATTAGGGGTCCTAGAGACCCCTAATATCTCCATAAAGAGGACCTGTCAGTGTGCCTTTGCTATTATATAGGGGGTTGTTATCCCCCTATATAATAGCAATAACAATAAGTGCAAAAAAAAAAATATAAATAAAAAAAAAGAAAAGTAACACATAAAAAAATAAAATAAAATAAAAGCCACATATAAAAAAAGGGGAAAAAACCCCCCCAAAATGTTTAACTCCCCCACCCCCACGTTTACGCGCCTATAAACGTAAATACGCGTCCGGTGCCCCAGCGCGCAAAAATTACAATTGCGCTACACATGTTACATATCACCGCGAACGTCGCAGTGAGAGCAATCATTTTAGGGCCATCAATCACTGATAACACTAAACTGATGAGCGGTAACAGCTTTTAAAGCGTCGCCTATGGCCAATTTTGGGTATTATCGTTTTTTGAGGTTTCGCGCGCGCACGCAATTTTAAGGCTTGACATGTTTAGTGTCTTTTTACCCGACGTGACCCCATCTTTTATACTTTCCAAAAAATTGGGTAATAATAAATGTTTTATCATTTTAATATAGGGGAAACTGTTTTTTAAAAAAAAGTTTCGGTAATTTTTCCTTTTAATATAGTAAAAAAATAAAAACCCCAGTGGTGAATAAATACCACCAAAAGAAAGCTCCATCTGTACCCAAAAAATGGTATAAAATTAATTTCAGTACAGCGCTGCATGACAGAATAAATGTCAGTCAAAGTACCGCAGCGCTGAATACTGAAAAATGGCCTGGATGGGAAGGGGGTTTAACACCGCGGATGTCAACTGGTTAAACTGTAGATGGATGTACCAGAGTCCCACTGGTTTTTGCCAGATCTGTGCTGATGGTGCAACTGGGCATCTTTTAATTGCAATGGGAAATCTGCATGGTGCTTCTTTCATTCGTGGCTGACGCTGTGTTTTTGGGCCTCAACATTGTCTTTGTTTTGTGCTTCAAGAGCGAGGACAGCACATATAGAAATGCTTGTCTTCCTTGAAATGCTTGTCTTCCTTGAAATGCTTGTCTTCCTTGAAATGCTTGTCTTCCTTGAAATGTCTACCTGTGAGAGACCTTGTTGATGCAGAAAGACCACCATGTCTTGTTGCTGTACTCAGGCTTGTCATTGTGTAAAATTGTTTGTATTGAGCTGTCTTCAGCAAATTTAACTTGTTAGTAAAGCATGACATATCCTAATTTTTTTTTTTCTCTTTTTCATTCCTCCTCCACAGATTATTCTGTTTGATTCAGACCATGTTCACACTATAGTCAGTGACTGGTGGTTGTTTTCTTTGTGCCCTGTTCACTCTGCAGTGCTGCCTTCGGGTGGATTGCAGTGTGTTTGACAAGGTTTGATTATGCCAGATAATGATTCCAGTGCCCAGCTCTAGCAACATTTATTATTTTGGAAAGCTTTATACTCATGCATCTCTGCCATTTATTAATAAACTGGGCTTTCTGAAACTTTGTTTACCTTACCTAAGACTATTACTGCAGTAACTTTCCAATGAAGATCAAGAGACATTGCCTAAGTGGTTTTTGAGAAAAACTCACAGTTTATGGGGCAGAGGTACAAAAGTGTAAAGCTATCAAAAATAAGTGTTCCCAGAGTTGGGCTTTAATAACTTCTCTCCAGATTAGCAGGACCGGCTGAAGAATAGTGCTAATTTGGACATGCACTGCTGATGGGGGACACTGTTATGACATAAGACAGCACATGTCTTCGCTGCATATGAGAGTTAAAAGACCTGCTACCATTCTCTCAGGCCGGGAAGTGAGAGGAGTTCAATGCTAGCTTTTGCTCTCAACTCCTAAGTGCATACCACCCCTCTCACCAGCAGTGCACTGACGCTAACTACCCTGCTCGCTGCCACTACACCCCCACTGCATTGGTGCACACTCCTGCACTGAATGTCATTGCATTGTGAAGGGGGAAATCTTCCCAAGTGTTAAATTGATTAGCAACCACTCAGACAGGATAGCTTTAAGAAGTCGGTTTATTTCAGCTGGCCAGCTGGAAACATGCAGCAACTCAGGCACCTTTAAATAATTTGGGCTTGCAATGAAATGAAACCATCTGTGTTACCTTGAATTATCTCCAAAAATCAGATGGCAATGCCACCCTGCACTGGTATTTGATTTGTGCCAAGAACATTAGCTGGGCCTTCTTGTCTTGAGAAGTCTCCCCCACATTAAGGCTGTCTTGACATTGGACCTATTGCTAATTAAGACAAGTTCCCTCATATCAAGGTTAGAGGAAAGCTGTCTTGGCATTGAACCTATTGTTCCTTAAGCCAAGGTAAAAAAAAACATGTTTATGATCTTATGCTTAAACTCTTGTTAACTCACCCTATAAGGCCTAAATGTTCTACATGATCTGTAGTTACCTCCCATCTACAAAGTTAAATGTCCTATATCTTGCCTATTCACACAACTCATTATATATGATGTATACACTATATAATTGTGCACTATATAAATGCAGACTTGCGTACAAACAACATTTAATAATATGTTAAATAAGCGAAATGGTAAGCTAATTAACATAATAGAAGTTTGACAATGTGATTCAGCAGGCATCATCCGTTTTCCTTATACAAAAGTGACACAGACTTTTGCACTTCAGATGCACTCTGCTACTGCACTGGGCATAAACTCTTGTACTCACCGCCACTACACTTTGTACTCACTCTTGCATTCACTGCCTCTGCACCCATTCACACTATTGCACTTGCTGTCACTGCATCTTCCTACATTGCTATAAGCCAAGTTGTCATTTGGATCTTAAGATCACATTTGGAATCTTGAAACTGAATTTGAACTCTAGAACTTCCCCTCCAGCAAGTGAAATGTTGTCATACTGCCAGCACATGTGTGAGTAATTGCATTTCATCATATATTACAGTCAAAAAAGAAATGCATGCAATGTAGTGATTTCCTCACCGAAATCTCTACATAACCAGGTACATAGGTGTGGTATTGTATGCATGCCAAGGGAACAAATTAACTCACGGCTTCTGTTGCTGATAGTTTCTGCTAGTTTTTTCTTTAAATGCCTCATTTCTTTTTCTGAAAACAGTAGAATGATCGGCTTTACCAAAAAGCTGTTAATTTTGTGCCATACCAATACAAACAAAAGAAATAAACATGAGAATGCCTGAACATTTCTAATTGCATCAATTTTCTACGCGAAGTGGTGCATTATCTGACAGAAATGCAGGGATGCCAATATTTTTGGCCATGACTGTCGATAAAAAAAAATTAGGCTTTTTGGTGGGTGAGAAAGAGGGAAAAAATGAAACCTTTAGTTGTACAGAAACTTGGCTACAGGAAGAGATGGGCGAGATTAGGTAAAATCTTGCCTCCATGTTAAAGAGTTGGCAGCCTTCCCTCTCTTATGTAGCATGATTTCTGTGAAACAAAATTTGATCATTACAAGGCCACACCTTTTTATTTTAAAAATGTTTTTAGTACGCTGCTCAAACTAATATTGGTAACTACATTCTTTTGTGTCCCACCACTTGGGAATAGCCTTGAAGATCATAAGTGGATGAAATCAGAATAATTAAGATGCTAATAAATTACTGTAAACGTTGGTCTTGGATGGAAAAGATAGTTGACATGGTTTTGCAGGTATCTGGAAAAGACCCTTGTTTTTCTCCAGTGTTTTTCACCAGTGTTTTAACCTCTTGCCGTCCGCCCATAGTAGAAAAACGGACGGACGGCACTGCTGCATCTTTTTTTCTGCTCGCGCGCGCCCCCTAGCGGGCACGCACGGGCAGAAAAGACCCGACAATGCACACACCCGGTACCGGGTGTCACACATATAGGCGATCAGCGGGTCCATAGCCCGCCGATCGCCTATATGTGCTCGTTCGTGGCACCCCCGCGCCCTGACTCCTCACCTTGATTCCCGGGATCCGCTGCCCCATCTTGGATCCCGGGACCGGCTCCGAGGGCGTCAGGAGGAGGAGGACGGGAGATCAGCTCCTTGCTGATCCCCGTCCGGGCTGTGAATGCAGAAGTGATGTGTGTTACATCACTTCCGCATTCACCTGTCAGTCATCTGGAGAGAGAAGAAGCTGATAAAGCAGATCTCTGCTTTATCAGCTTCTTTTGGGGTCCATAGGTGATATTAGGGGTCCTAGAGACCCCTAATATCTCCATAAAGAGGACCTGTCAGTGTGCCTTTGCTATTATATAGGGGGTTGTTATCCCCCTATATAATAGCAATAACAATAAGTGCAAAAAAAAAATATATAAATAAAAAAAAAGAAAAGTAACACATAAAAAAATAAAATAAAATCCACATATAAAAAAAGGGGAAAAAACCCCCCCAAAATGTTTAACTCCCCCACCCCCACGTTTACGCGCCTATAAACGTAAATACGCGTCCGGTGCCCCAGCGCGCAAAAATTACAATTGCGCTACACATGTTACATATCGCCGCGAACGTCGCAGTGAGAGCAATCATTTTAGGGCCATCAATCACTGATAACACTAAACTGATGAGCGGTAACAGCTTTTAAAGCGTCGCCTAGGGCCAATTTTGGGTATTATCGTTTTTTGAGGTTTCGCGCGCGCACGCAATTTTAAGGCTTGACATGTTTAGTGTCTTTTTACCCGACGTGACCCCATCTTTTATATTTTACCAAAAAATTGGGTAATAATAAATGTTTTATCATTTAATATAGGGGAAACTGTTTTTTTTTTTAAATTTCGGTAATTTTTCCTTAATATAGTAAAAAAATAAAACCCCCAGTGGTGAATAAATACCACCAAAAGAAAGCTCTATCTGTCCCCAAAAAAGGGTATAAAATTCATTTCAGTACAGCGCTGCATGACGGAATAAATGTCAGTTAAAGTACCGCAGCGCTGAATACTGAAAAATGGCCTGGATGGGAAGGGGGTTTAACACCGCGGATGTCAACTGGTTAATATGTTCAAAAATTTTGACCAACATTCTCAATTGGATTTTCACAGTGGAATGTTGTCAGTTTCCCTCGATGACTTCAGCATTACCGTTTATGACATTGAAACAAGAAAACTTGTCAGACGGTTTCCTGGACACAATGGAAAGATAAATGACATGGTAAGATTGCATACCACCCACTCTAACTCACTATCTATGTACAATTAAATAGAATCAGAGTAGATATCTCATTGGTGATTTGTAAGCAATTCATAATAAGAAAATGTAAGAAAATAACAACTCTTATCTTAACTCATTTGAAAATAAAATCTCATATCCTTGGGTAGAAAGGAAGAATTTCTGGTGCTATCCCTTGTCCTGTGCTTTACATTACTAAAAAATATATTGTTTTAAACTCCATGTTGCAGCCCTACTGCTGTTTGGGGGGAGGGCTTACAACAGGAAAAAGAAACTGCATCTGTCCCATTGAGGCAGTATACACAAGAGCATGCATACATGGTTCTCTCCCCTCTGTTATGGTGACTTGCATAGCATGGGCATACACTAAAATTGTAAGTAAAAACAAAGTTTCAGAATGTGTGTTTAAGCCACACTTCTGGAATGAAAGATAATTTGCCCATCATACAGGATGTTTAAATTATCATCAAAACGCTGTGTTATGTGCAGAGGGCTGATGCAAAGTATAAAAATCTTTCAGCACACCTCCTGCACATAACTCCGAGCTCATGGGCACTGTGGAGAGGGAAAAATGCCACTTGAGCAGTACAGCGCTCCGGTCGCATCACGCACCCAACTTACTATCATCCGTTCACCAAATGTAATTTATTTTTTCCAAGGATATAGGGCATTCTGTGATTTGGAGACGTCACACCCTCACCCCCTTCTCTTCTACAGTCACAGATTGCCTTGTGTTTTCGCCTAGAGAGGTTTCCCCATTCAGATGTTTCACCAGACAGAATGTGGGAAAATCTGGAACATGGACACCAATAAAAAGCTGATGGGTGGATTTCTCCTACTCTACAAAAATACAATATTGTTGCTGCATTTGTCCCTTTTGCAGATCTGCCCTCACTTCCTGTCTGGTGAAACTGTAGTTACCGTGACAGTAAGTAAAAAGAACTCTCTAACAGAAACCTAGCAGTAAAATCAGACGGGGGCACTTAACACTTTAAGTATAGATATTTGCAGATTTGCCTGTAGCGTAATCCTGAATACATGCTATTGAGATATCGGCCAAATAACAATCCCCCTATATAATAGCAAAGGCACACTGACAGGTCCTCTTTATGGAGACATTAGGGGTCTATAAGACCCCTAATGTCACCTGGGGACCCCAAAGAAGCTGATGAAGCAGAGATCTGCTTCATCAGCTTCTTTTCGCTGGCTATAGCAGCCAGATGACTGACAGGTGAATGCGGAAGTGATGTATTACACATCACTTCCGCATTCACACAACGGAGGAAGTTCAGCAAGGAGGAAGATGCTGATCTCCCTCCCATCTTATCTCCTGACGCCCTCCCGAGCTGGTCCCAGGCCGCAGATGGGCTAGCGGATCCCGGGATTGAAGGTGAGGGGGCGGCACTCCAGGCGGCACTCGAGGGGGGGGGCGAGCAAAATACAACCGATCGGTGGTTATCTAGCAGCCGATCGTTTGTATGTCAAACAGCCGGTAACAGCTGTAAAGAACAGGCAGGTTTTTTCTGCCCGTGTGCGCGCACAGAAAAAAAATGTCGTCTAATTATGCCAACTCGCCCATGTGAGTCTGCCGTCCGTCCGTTTTTTTGCAGCGGGCAGACGGCAAGTGATTAAAGCCCATTCCCCAACCCATTTATAATTGCTTTTATAGCACCTCCTCCAATGTGTCTGCTGGTGTCAGAGCTTACAGGGAGCAATGATGTCACCTCCTCTTGTCATGTGCCAGAGGTTATATGCTGTGCTATACCTGGAAGCACCAAGTATTTTTCAGCAGCTGGGAGGAGTGCTCTGAAGGCTAGCCTAACTGGGTAGAAGATGAGATTAACAAGACCCTGAAGGGAATTTATCAAAACTGGAGCAGACAAAATCTGGAACAGCTGTGGCACCCTTTTAGCTTTATTCCTTCTGTAAATCCAGTTTAGGCATCTTTTTATCTGTCAACTTACATAGCAAGCCCTGTTACTGTAAGCCTGATTTCAGCTTGTCGTATAGCAACTAAGCTTAGACACATATCCAAAAGTAAATAATTTTTTTCCCCCTCACTTTCAGACGTATAGCCCAGATGGCCGATGGCTAATGACTGCATCTATGGATTGTACAATCAAAGTCTGGGACTTTCCATCTGGATGGTAAGACATTTGGGGCTGTAACAAAGAGATACCAGTAATTTGTAGTTCACCATGATGTTTACACCTGGGCAAGTTCACTCTGCTTCTGTAATGCTTGCATAATGCATACATACATACCTCACGCATTCCATAGAACCGTGCTTAGGTGTGTAAATACTTTTCACTCTTCTCATTCCCACTTCATTGCCTGTTTTAGCTGCAGCCACTTCCATTATGCACCATGAAATAATTTTAAAGTAATCACTTTCAAGTGACACATGGTAATTCCCTTCTGGCAAGAGAGCTGTTCTCAGCCTTGTCAGGACAAAAGCGAGCTATATGTTTCATCATTTTTCCTTGCAACTGTTAATACAAATATAGATAGCGAGCGGGTGTCGGCACACAGGAATGTGCGTCTATTATTACCTTACCTGGAAAAAATGAAGTTGGAAACAAATCGGTTAACTAGAGCCCCCTTCTGGTGCACCCTGCTTGCTTATTATTTGTCAGCTTTTTTTCTGCCCCATAATTAAATTGTGATAACTGGTCTTCTATTCTGCCACACAGGAAGTCATATACTGTTGGGTTACTTTGCTGCCTGCAGGAGGATGGGATACTGGCAAAGAACCTGTAGGCCAGTCCAGGATATTAACATATATTTTTCCCCTTCAATTCTATTTTTTCTTTTTAATCAAGATTCTTTGCTACATCACTGCCTGAGCTGGTCCGCGGCCTGAAGACTGTGTGAGGAGGTCTTCTGGGCTGAGCGCTGGCAGCTACCTCATGGTTTGGAACACCAAGTAAATTTCCTCCCTTCCCAAAATTTTACCACAGAGGGTTAACAATGAGGGTCAGAGTGCTGACATCATCTATTGGGTGGAGTGCCACGCACACCCTGCTCTTTTCCACCATACAGCATTGAAAATGCTTCTACCTGATGTTGCTCCTGCTTTGCATAGAGCCACATGTAACTCTGATCTGTTCGGACTGTCCATCTCTTGTGACTTTGGATGCCTCCGACCATTTTAACCCTGTAGCAGGAACCAGCTGTTTGGTTGTTTTTTTTTGTTAGTACCTGATACCTTGCCTTGTACCCTGAGCTTACTTGCATCACTGCCAAGCAGTGGCCACAGGTCTTTGTCTGGATATAAAGGGGATGGTCCCTCTGCAACAGGTGACCCCAGCTCACACTCCCCTAAAAGTTCTGGGGAAGTTTGTTCTGTGCTTTCTAAAAGGTACTGACATCTGCAATCTGGAATCTTGTTTCCCTTTCATTATAGGGTCCACCTCATCATCGGAGTCTTCTTAACCAGGGTCTTTACTAGAGTCAAAATACTCTTCACTGGTTTGGCTGCAGAGGCTCTAACACGCTCCCTGCTTTTACCTAGTGGCTTTAGAGTCCGCAGGGCCTATGATCGTAATGCCAATCCCTGAGGTCCCCTCAGTCTTTCTCCCTCTGATTAGATTGTTTTTGTGAAATCGTAGTATTCAGCCCCCACCTCAGATTTACAAGTAATTGTTTCAACCTTCTTTAATGAGGCACATACTCTTCTGAATCTGGAGGATCAGTTTGCTATCACTAGTGTTGTATTCTTCAGTTTGGGTCCTGAACACCCCATGAGTGTTTACTGGATCTGTTCCTATTTAAGAAACCGTTTTAGACAATGGTCAATATCCACTGTAGAACTACCAGGGACCCACCCTAACAGGGAAAATACTAGAATGATGCAGGGTGTTTTTTACATTTAAAAATTCTACTGACCAACCGTCAGAATCTTGCTTTAAGGCCTTCATTTGCCAATTTGGCAGAATGGACTAAATCCCTCAAAAAGAGATCTCTCCACTGTGGCAGTAGATCCTTTTCTGATCGAATATGTGAAACAGATTTCTGGGGCTTTATCTTTCATTTGCGATTGCGTGCTGAAAGCATCTAGGCTTGTCTTTTGTCTGGGTCTGTTGTCCACACATATGCACAGATCTCTCTAGTTAAAGAGCTGGGATGCAGACATTGCATTCAAGGAATGCCCGACTCTCTTGACCTATGAGGCACAGCACCTCTTCAGACCTACCCATGAAGTTATTATCAAATTATATAATTAGAGAACAAATCTTCCACTTGCCTCTGCTTATGAAATCTCAAAAAAATTCAGCTAAGTCCCTTTCTTTTCTTGCTTCAACTCGGGGGTAGGGATGATTCTGCCCTCTAACGTTGGTTGTCCAGCCACATGCAAGATTGAGGTTAAGAAACCTGCCAAACCCTCAAGAAAGCCTTCAGAATCAGGTGTGCACCCAGTTCAAGTGGTGGGATCTTTGTCAATCCTTGCGGGATCTTGGATAGTTTGCAGAGAGTGCCCTTTCAGGTTTTACAGAATGTTAACACCAACATTTGCCCTAGTACCTTCTCATGGCATCCCCATTGTGGGACTTTTCAGATGGCCTCCTGTGGTCGGAAACGGTCCCTTTGGGTCCTAGTGGACGTCTTCCTAATGGTCTAAATGCCACCAAGTTTCACCTGGTTCTTGTTTAGCAAGGATTCCGTGCTGGAAACTTTTCATTACCTGCAGAGAACATAGACCAGTGGGGTTCTTCAGTAGAGGGCTCTGCAGCATGTTCATCATCATATCCTTTTTCATTTGGTTAGGGAGTTGCCTGTCTATCCAATGTTGCAGAAGAGTTGTGTGTCGATCATGCTTAAGGCTACAAGTCCTGCCTTGCTGGGAAATTGTTTTTTCTCTCCCGTTCATTGAAGGACACAGGGCAACAGATCGTAGATCCTGAATGGTAGGGTGTATCGCCACCTGCAGGAGTAGGACGCTAGGCACATAACAAAAGACAAGACAGCCTAGGGGCGGCCCCTGCTGGTGGCCCAACCCCCCACTTGCTGACAAGTCTCCAGTTTTTTGCCTAGCGTCAGGAGTGAGGAGCTTCGAATTTTTTCTCTTGAATTCTTGCGTGATTTCTCCTGTTTTTTCGCTGGCTCTTCTAGCAAGTGTCTGCAGGGAGACAGGCTGGATGTTTGTGGATCCTTGCAGTCTTCCCTGGACGACCGGCGAGCGCATGCAGACTCTGCCACGGTGGGTCGGCTGCGACAACTCTGTTTTTTCAATGGAGTGGCCTGTGGGCTTGTCCCTGTGGAGTGCATATGACTGGGGGTCTCGGCCTTCCAGTCACAGCACTCCACTCAGGCTGGCGGCGCCGCGGCTGAGGTCGGGGGCGTTTTTCCGCCATCCCTGCGCACCCTGATGCCGGGTTTTCAGAGAGGGCTCCCTGGAATCGTCACCCCCCCCTGGATAATGGTGGTGGTCGTGGGTTCGGAGTCTGCCCGGTTCCCCCCTGGTTCGGTATGTATGTGGGGGTCTGTCTGGGGCTGTGTGGAGGGTCTCTGAGTGCTGCCTTTCCTGATGGTCGTCTTACCTGGATGGCCCCTCGTGGTTGCTGAAGGCTCCGGTCTGTGTGAGATACTGCTGGGGGACGCGGTTCTCTCATGCCGCGTTCCTCCCCCTCCTCATTAACAGGTGTTCCTGAGTCAGAGGCCTTCCCTGAAGGGTCTGGATGGTCCTGAGGGGTCTGACTGTGAGCGGCACGGGAGGACGCGGTACCGAGGCCGCATGTTCGTTCTGATTTCGGCCCCTCGTGCGCGGGCGACCGAAAATCGAGGTCCCGGCTCCAGTTGCGGCCTAGTCCGGATGCCGCTGCCGCCATCTTGGATGAGGGCGGCTTGCCCTCCCTGTATGACCTCACTTCCGGTCCGCGGGTGGATGGGGCGGTCCTATTTCGCCGTGTAGGCGATTTTCAAGGGGACACAGGTCTGCTGCTGCTGCTGCTGATCCATGGCTGGAGGACGTTTTTGCTGCATCTTCCGTTCTGTGCCAGGGGCCGTGAGTTGCTGGGTTTCCTTCTACCTGCGGGGGTCTCAGTTTTGGCTCCAATTGAGGATACTAGTGCCCGGGGACCGCAGGGACAAGCCGTCGGCTGTGCCTTGTGGGGGCTGCGGGCTTACCTTGGAGGCTGCTTGCCCTTCCCTGCTATGGGTGTTTTGCACGCCTGTGTCCCTTCCCCAGTCGTGGTTGCTCCCTTGGGGTCCTATGTGGGGGTGTTCAGTCCCGTGGGTACTGCGCTGTCCCTGGGGGTCTTTTCCTCTGCCATTGCTGGGTTGTGACACGCATTGAACGCGTTTTGATGCCGGGGCCCCCCCTAGAAAGCGGGCTTTGCCATGGCCGTCTCCTGCTCTTTCGGGGGGGTCCGAGGGTGAGAGGGTACTTCCCACCGCGTCGCCTCATGCTGATCGTCTTGATTCCTCACGGCCAGATCCGGCCAGTGTGGATGAGGCGGCGTCTGCGCTCCTGGTTCGGGACCGTGAAATGGTTTCAGCGCTAGTCCGCGCTGTCAGGGAGATTGCTTCAATGGGGATACTCCCGGCTCTTCCGCACTGCCGCCAGAGCAGTGTGGAACGCATCAGAGTAGGCTTTTCGCCTACGTGTTTACTTACATCTCCTTTTTTGATTACTTTATAAGGAGTGGAAGGGGCTTACCAAGTCCTTTTGCGGTCCCTAAGCGTTTCTCGGTCGCGATCCCCTTGGGGAGGCCTGTGTGTCTACGTGGTCTTCTCCCCCGCTCTCGTTTGTACATGGCCACAGTTATCCCGGTGGAGGATTCTCCATCCTTTAAGGACCCCTCTGATAGGACAGCTGAAGCGCTTTCGCTGTCTCTGTACTCCTTCTCGGGAGCGCTGGTGCGTCTGGTTTTGGCTTCTGCCTTGGTGTCTCAGACTCCGACGGAGTGGGCTCAGATGTTGCACCAGGGTCTTGCGGCGGGGAATGTCTCTCCCGCTTTGGTGGAGCTGGCGGACCGATTGGTGCAGGACCTTAGTTTTGGCTGCACTTCGGCTTTGGATGTGGCACCCTTGGTGCCCAAGCTGTCGGTGTCGCCAGTTACTTTGGCTTAGGTGCTGGTCGGCTGCTTGGGCTTCCGAGCAAGCTCTGTCGGTATTGCCTTTTTACTGGGGACTGTCTGTTTTGGAT